GATCCAAACAAACACAGAGAGCTCTGGAAAAAAATTAAGAGACCACTTGAAAATCCTCAGTTTCTCTGGATTTATGATTTGTAGTTATGTGTTTGAGTAAAGTGTAATTTTTGTTTTATTCTGTAAACTACTGATGACATTTCTTCCAATTTTTAAATAAAAATTTTGTTGTTTAGAGCATGAAATGACAATTGGTTGAAAAAACAAAGATGCCATGTTTTGAAGAAATGTTATCAGACCTTTACAGGATAAAACATATTAACATTTTACTCAAACCCATACCTAGTAAATCCAGAGAAACTGAGAATTTATAAATATAACAATGTCTTCTGAAGCCATAAAGTTCCTGATGTGAGGAGCAGAGCTAATGCAGCGCTTTCACTGAAAGCAAAAGAGCATCAGAGAAATGCAGGAGGACATCAAATGAGTTCCAGCAGACGATGCATCAATCCGCCGGCTCTTTCTTCATTAATACTTCAGATTTAATATCCTGTGAGTCACAGAGAATATGAGGCTTCTGCAGGAGGATTGTTATGAAAGAGAACATTAATGCAAGAGAAAGTCTTCGTGACTCATCTTCACTGTGTGACCTTCATTTAAGGTCCTCTCGCTCGGAGCGGAGACGCAGATATATAAGAGTTCATGGAAAATAGAGGGAAGATCCTCTGGAGGATCATATATAGAGACGATTCGAAGTACATGAGCATAACATGAAACCAGCACTGCCTTATGAGTGAGTGTGTGTGTGTGTGATTGAGTGTGTATGTGAGAGAGTGTGTGTGTGTGTGATTGAGTGTGTATGTGAGAGAATGTGTGTGTGTGTGTGTGTGTGTGTGTATGTGAGAGAGAGTGTGTGTGTGTGTGTGAGAGTGTGTGAGAGTGAGTGAGAGTGTGTGAGAGTGAGTGAGAGTGTGTGAGAGTGAGTGAGAGTGTGTGAGAGTGAGTGAGAGTGTGTGAGAGTGAGTGAGAGTGTGTGAGAGTGAGTGAGAGTGTGTGAGAGTGAGTGAGAGTGTGTGAGAGTGAGTGAGAGTGTGTGAGAGTGAGTGAGAGTGTGTGAGAGTGAGTGAGAGTGTGTGAGAGTGAGTGAGAGTGTGTGAGAGTGAGTGAGAGTGTGTGAGAGTGAGTGAGAGTGTGTGAGAGTGAGTGAGAGTGTGTGAGAGTGAGTGAGAGTGTGTGAGAGTGAGTGAGAGTGTGTGAGAGTGAGTGAGAGTGTGTGAGAGTGAGTGAGAGTGTGTGAGAGTGAGTGAGAGTGTGTGAGAGTGAGTGAGAGTGTGTGAGAGTGAGTGAGAGTGTGTGAGAGTGAGTGAGAGTGTGTGAGAGTGAGTGAGAGTGTGTGAGAGTGAGTGAGAGTGTGTGAGAGTGAGTGAGAGTGTGTGAGAGTGAGTGAGAGTGTGTGAGAGTGAGTGAGAGTGTGTGAGAGTGAGTGAGAGTGTGTGAGAGTGAGTGAGAGTGTGTGAGAGTGAGTGAGAGTGTGTGAGAGTGAGTGAGAGTGTGTGAGAGTGAGTGAGAGTGTGTGAGAGTGAGTGAGAGTGTGTGAGAGTGAGTGAGAGTGTGTGAGAGTGAGTGAGAGTGTGTGAGAGTGAGTGAGAGTGTGTGAGAGTGAGTGAGAGTGTGTGAGAGTGAGTGAGAGGGTGTGAGAGTGAGTGAGAGAGAGTGTGTGTGTGTGTGTGATTGAGTGTGTATGTGAGAGAGAGAGTGTGTGTGTATGTGAGAGAGAGTGTGTATGTGAGAGAGAGTGTGTGTGTGTGTTTACACACTTAAAGGAACAGTTCACCCAAAAATGGTAATTCTTTCATCATTAACCATTCCTGTATGAGTTTCTTTCTTCTGAAAAAGAATGAAGAATGTTTGACACTGCAGTATTTTTTTTTCATACTATGGAAGTCAGTGGCTACCAGAAACTGTTTGATTGCCAACATTCTTTAAAATACCTTTTTGTGTGTGTGTTCAGCAGAAGAAAGAAACTCAAACAGGTCTGTATGAGTTTCTTTCTTCTGAAAAAGAATGAAGAATGTTTGACACTGCAGTATTTTTTTTTCATACTATGGAAGTCAGTGGCTACCAGAAACTGTTTGATTGCCAACATTCTTTAAAATACCTTTTTTTGTGTGTGTGTTCAGCAGAAGAAAGAAACTCAAACAGGTTTGGAACAGCTTGAGGGTGAGTAAATGCTGACAACATGTTCATTTTAAACTATAGTAAACTCTCTCTCTCACACACACACACACACACACACTTGTTTGCTAAGAACTGAGAATATAATATCCAGTACAGACGTTTGTCGGAAATGTCCCAGCTAAAACAGACATGTTCTAAGAACGGTTTTCTAATGTTTCTATTGAGTTATGAAAACATTATTTCTGAATGCCCTCTAAACGTCCAGTTATTTTAATGTTTTAAAAACGTTGTTTTTCTTGGTTATGCGAACGTTAAGGAAACATTCCATTCTATCATTTCGCCAACATTACGGCAATGTTACTTTTGAATGTTTCTGAACGTTCTGAAACAAGCAGTAACATCTAAAAAACGTTAGATGAAAAAACATTCCAAAACTATTGTTTTTGCGCTAACGTTTTGAGAACATTATTAAAGGCCAGAGAACTTTGACCGAGCGTTCTATTAACGCTTCTGGAAGAACTTTGAGAGAACCTCGACCGTTCCCTGTTACTGTTCTCAGAAAGTTCCTCTCATAACTTTGACCTCCTTCTCTGCAAACACACACATTTCTGATGGCTCCATATGAAATTGTAATTTGCTGACTGTAAATGTTTATATACACTGATGTTCCCATCTTTCCCTGTGTGTGTATGAGGATGAGGAAAATAAAATATTCTGATATATTTCACTTTTTCAGTCTATGAGCGTCCTCTAGTGGACGCAAAGTATATTTATACATATATATTTATTTACTTACTTGATGAATGTGATGAATTATAGCTAACTATAAATGTAAAAAGTATTTTTCTGCGCGCTTACTTACTTTTGAGCGTCCTCTGAAACAACTTTAGATGATCTTTTTTTTTTTTTAAACATTATTAAAAACCAGAGAACTGTGAGTGAACATTACTACATAAGCTCTTAGCAGAACGTCTCATATTTGATGAAGTTTGCATCGATTCTGTCATTTTCCAGTGTATTATTGTGAAGCTGTATTATAGAAACGTTCCGTTTGATCATTTTGAAACATTCCGGGAACGTTACTTTTGAACGTTCGGAAACAAGTGGCAACATTTAAAGAACGTTCGACGAACTGAAACGTGTATAAGCAATGTGTTTGTGCTAACGTTCGAAGAACATTATTAAAAACCTGAAAAGACTGAACGAACGCTCTGTTAATGTTACTTGAAGAGCATTCGTTTAGACCTTTGACTGAACCTTGGTCCGTTCTGGATGTTGATCTGATCTCGAAAGCATCTGAACTCACTCTTCATCTTGATCTCTGCAGGTTGTTCTGGCCCAAATCTCGCTGTACCTGGACGCTGAGCTCCTCCTGCGCAGTTATCCGCTTCAGGCCACGATCTGCTTGTACGAGGACTCAGACAGCGATGATGATGATGATGATGATGATGAAGAGCATGAGAAAGAACGCAGCTGAAGACCTTCATCACTTGATTCGCTTTGTTTAGTCAATGCATGTAAATAGTTGTGGATATGTATATAAAACTGGAGGTTTGAATGTAAATAGTTTTAATTTTTTAGTATTTATGATAAATTATTCTACATGCCGACTGTAACTTATTTCCTATAAATAAATATTTTAATGAATTTTGGTTTTGCTCTTTCTTTTAATCAGGTTGTCAAAACAGCTGTTTTCTATGTGAATCTCTGTTAAACTGTAATGTATTTCTGTGATGCGCAGCTGTATTTTCAGCATCATTCCTCCAGTCTTCAGTGTCACATGATCTTCAGAAATCATTCTAATATGCTGATTTGCTGCTCGAGAAACATTTCTGATTATTATCAATGTTGAAAACAGTTGTGCTGCACAATATGTTTTTGGAACCTGATACTTTGATGAATAGAAAGCATTTAGACTCCGCTGATAGCGCTGCTGTGGTGCTGCGGGCAGCAGAGGGCGCTGTTTCCTCGCGGCTCTGATGTGTTTCTCACGGCTTCATTCAGATTCATCTTCTTTTATTAATTCCCTCCAGACTCATGGATGCTCCTTGTTGATCACTGCTTTAGTAATTCTGTTTTAATAAGCCATATTTAAATAAAGAGAAGGCGCACCGCGCACGTTATGCTGATTTTATATTGCAAACTGGTATTTGTTACCATATTTTAATTTATGATCATAATTGCAAACACACTGGTTTGTAGCGCAAATATTTTCACCGTTTAGTATTATAATGAACCGGAAGTCTCGCGCATTCACAGTAAACAACTTACTGCTGCATTGCAAAACAAGGTGGATACTTAAAATCAAACATTAAAATGTATTGCTATAATAAATAGCCCCCAAAAAACTGTGATTAATCCATATTTAATTTCTATCTTTAGTGTTTTATTTTACTTTTAAAAAGCTAGTGACTCTGTTTATTCTTCCACACTACTAACTAGCACTCTTACCTAGCTAACAGGGCTAACTTTCTCTAGGTTTAAGGTTCTCTCAACAAACATCTTCCAGTAACGTTAATAGAACGTTTGTTCAATAGTACAAAAACATTATTGATACATGAAATGTATTTGTTGCATGTTTGTCTAACTTTTTAAAAAATATATATATTTCTGCTTGAGAACATTCAAAAGTAACGTTCCCATAATGTTTGCAAAAAATGAAACGTTCCTTTAACCTTTGCATAACCAAAATAAAACATTTCTAAAATGTTTTAATGCTCATAGAACATAAAGAAACAACGTTTCGTAACTTAATGGGAATGTTATCAAAACATTCTAGAACATGTTTTTGTTAGCTGGCTATATGGTTAATTGTAATTGTAATTTAATTTAATTTTTTCCCACCAGACTAAAGTAAAGCTGCATAAACACACATGATATCTGCGAGAATAGAGCACACATCAGTGCTGCGGAGGGTTAATGGTCAGGCCGGTGGGTCGAGGGCAGCAACACACACACACACACACACACACACACAGGCATGGAGATCAGGTTAATGTTCATCAGATGCGTTGTTCTGCTCCGCGCTCATGGAATGTCTCAATTAGATATTGAGCAGTTGGATTACCAACAAGCATCTGCATCACTTCCTGACACACACACACACACACACACACACACACCTGCATCTGGATTGTGGGAAATGTAGTGTTTTGTGATGACAGGCGTGGTGAATGGAGATCGTGACATCAGCTCAGACCTGCGAACCGTGTCTGGGCCACAACTGACAAGTTCCTAAGAAGCTCTAAAGTATATATTTTTTAATGTACTTTTGTAGTGCACATCCTAGTAATTATAATATGTAGTATAATGTAGGTAGTGTTATGCTGTAATGCTTAATATTTGATACAACCCAGTAAACCAATCGATCTTATTTATTGGGATTTAAGGCAAGTTGGAGGTTATTCTTACTGTAAGGTTTTATTTATGATGAATTTTACAAACATTCTTTCCAGGAATTCAAATTCTTCTTAAGTTTTGTCTTCAGAACAATCTAAAAAAAAAAAAGGGTAACGAATATATTTGGGAATACAATATATTCTCAAATTTATTCTTTAGTTAGAAAATTACATATTAGCAGTCAAGAATAGTTTATTCTTAAAGGGACAGTTCACCCCAAAATGAAAAATCTTTCATCATTTAGTCACTAAGTTGAGTTTCTTTCTTCTGTTGAACACCAAAGATATTTGAAGAATATTGATAACCAGACAGTTGACGGTAGCCACTGACTTCCATAATATGAATTCATGAGAGTTTAAGGAGAACACACACACACACAGGAAGCCCATCTGCTTGAGTGACCTGTAGTAATTAGTTATTAATCTTCCCATGAGACAGAGCTGAGCTAGAATACATTAACACGCTTACTGACACACAACAACACCCACGGGGCGAGATGGGAAACCTACTGGGGCTTATGGGTAGACAGACAGAGACGAAGGGGCGGAGCATGTCAGGGACGGAGCAAACCGATTGAATACTGAATATGATGATGTAATGTAGACTGTTTGAACAAGTCATTACACACTGCCACGTTGACAGAGCGTTGCTATGCAACTGCTAAAGTGTTCTGGGTGACTATTGCTAGGGTGGGGTTAGTGGTTGCTAGGGCGTTGCTATGCATTTGCTAAAGTGTTCTGGGTGACTGTTGCTAGGGTGGTGTTAGTGGTTGCTAGGGAGTTGCTATGGAGTTGCTAAAGTGTTCTGGGTGACTGTTGTTAGGGTGTCATTGCTAGCGTGGTGTTAGTGGTTGCTATGGAGTTGCTAAAGTGTTCTGGGTGACTGTTGCTAGGGTGGTGTTAGTGGTTGCTATGGAGTTGCTAAAGTGTTCTGGGTGACTGTTATTAGGGTGTCATTGCTAGCGTGGTGTTAGTGGTTGCTAGGGCGTTGCTATGCATTTGATAAAGTGCTCTGGGTGACTGTTGTTAGGGTGTCATTGCTAGAGGGGTGTTAGTGGTTGCTAGGGTATTGCTATGCAGTTGCTAAAGTGTTCTGGGTGACTGTTGCTAGGGTGATGTTAGTGGTTGCTAGGGCGTTGCTATGCAGTGTCATTGTTAGCGTGGTGTTAGTGGTTGCTAGGGCGTTGCTATGCATTTGATAAAGTGCTCTGAGTGACTGTTTTTAGGGTGTCATTGCTAGCATGGTGTTAGTTTTTTTTAGATTACTGTAAATAATAGATTTATTTTCAATCAAAATCCACAAATTAAAGTCAAGAAAACCAATGCAACTATAATCTGTAAATAACACAAACTATAATTGATTTTGGATCAAAACAATGAGAATTGGGTTGAATTGATATGAAAATCATGTCATGCACTAATGAAAAAAAAAATACTTCATGCATTCATTTTTTTTAGCTCATATTATTTTCTTCAGATTACTGTAAATAATAGATTTTTTAAATTAAAATCAGTACAAAATTTAATTCAGTACAACCAATGCAACTGCAATCTGCAAATACTGCACAATCTAATTGATTTTGCATAAAAAAATATGATAAAGTTGAAAATGTTGCAAACATAAAACTTAATTTTCTTCATGCATTCTTCATTTTTTGCAGCTCTCATTATTCGATTTAAAATTTTTCAATTAAAATCAACAAATTAAAGGCAGTACACCCAATGTAATTATGATGCACTGCAAAATCGAATTGATTTTGCATTAAAGTAATGAGAACCGGGGTGAAGTGATATGAAAATAATGTCACAGTGTAAACAAAACACCTAATATGCTTCATGCATTCTTAATTTTTCCTTTTTCAAGATTTTATTATTCTCTTTAGATTGCTGTAAATAATACTTTATTTCAATTACCAAATTAAAGGCAATACTACATTCTGTAAATCTGTAAATAATGCAAAATCTAACTGATTTTGTGAACAGTGAACTGCCACAGTGCAAACAAAAAAAGTCAGTTTTCTTCATGCATTCTTCATTTTTCTTCTACTGTAAATCTTTTTATTTTTCAAATAAAAAGCACTGCAAAATCTAATTGATTTACATCAAAGTAAAGGTTCTTAAATAATGCCACAGTGCAAAAATCAAATATTTTTCTTCATGCAAAATATAAATTCTTCCTTTTTTTTGGCTTGAGATCTGACCTGCACGTGTTCTTGATAGTGCTTGTATAAATAGCAACATAAGAGCGCTGTCATCTTTCCATGTTTGCATGTTTTTTTCCACGTTTACAGGCTTGTAAAGCAGCGGGTGTTTTTCCGGAGATGATGACTGATGTGCCGTTGTGCGCGGCGCTGGTCTGGAAGTGCAGGTGCGCGTTCACATCATAATGAGCGGGAAATCCGCACAGGTTTTCCGGCCGCAGCGAGCGTGTGTGGCCGTCGAGAGCCTCTCTGTCCGACCCGGGACTGCTCAGACCGGACAGTGACACCGGACTCCCGTTCATGTCGTCCCGGCACAGGATGAGGCGGTCCGAGGCCATGCGGTTCCCCGGCGTCCAGTAATCGCTCATGCGGCCGTCCTCCACCTTAATCAGCTCCCGTTTGGCTCCCATCAGGCTTTCGGACTCCCGCGGGCTCACGTGAAACGCCCTGTTGCCATGGCAACCGTCTCCCGAATCGCCCGACGAGCCCGGAGAACTGTCCGCACGCTCGTCGTCCCAACGAGCTGCCAATGAGATTTGATTTCACAGCGTTATGTGCGTGCTGAAACTCCCTGAGGACTGATTATGAAGTTCTGCGTTTGTGTATTCTGCGATATTTTTAGCCTATTATCCGCATGCTAGATTTTAAAGGCGCCTTCAGTAATTGTTTACAATTAAAGATAGTACATGAAAAAACATGCTTAAATATAAATGACTAAATTTAACCACTGGCCCAGATGACATCAGCGCAACAAAGTAAGTTGTTTTGATGAAAGACTGTGATTTTCACAATAAGAATGTATTAAAGTAAATACAGTCGTCTAATAGTTTTGTTGTTGTTGTTGTTGTTTTGAAAGATATTAACACTTTTATTCATCAAGGAAGCATTAAATTGATCAAAAGTGACAGTAAAGACATTTATAATGTTACAGTAGATTTCAAATAAATGCTGTTCTTTTGAACTTTCCACTCATCAAAGAATCCTGAAAAATAAATTGATTTTTATAATTATGCTAAAACTGACACCATAAAAAACATTTTCATTACTTGAAATAAAATAAACATTAACTGAAATAAATTATTTATAAACTTTTGATTCCAGATTTCTATAAATTTCTATATATATGTATAAAACTACTAAAACACACATAACTAAATTACTAAAACTTTAACTAAAATTAAAAAACTGAAAATATAAAAGTAAAAACTGAAGATCATGTGACACTGAAGACTGGAGTAATGATGCTGAAAATACAGCTGCACATCACAGAAATAAATTACAGTTTAACAGATATTCACATAGAAAACATCTGTTTTACATTATAATAATATTTCACAATTTTTACTGTATTTTTGATCAAATAAATGCAGCTTTGATGAGCAGGAGAGACTTCTTTCAGAAACATCCAAATTCTTCCAAACACATAAATGGTTGTAAATCAGAGTTTCAACAAAAACACAAACTGTTTTCAACATTGCTAATAACCAGAAATGTTTCTTGAGCAGCAAATCAGCATATTATACTGATTTCTGAAGATCATGTGACTCACCGTGAGTTTGATGGTACGTTCTGCCGTCAAACGCTCCTCCGTTGTGTTGAGTTGCTTTAGTAAGCGACGGGACGAGTCGTGTGGCATCCCACCATCCCTCTCTCCCTCTCTGATCACACAGCTGTGTGTGTGTAGCGTGTGCGTGTGTTTGAGCACATGTGTGCACCGCGTCATCCTGAGAGAGAGCGTAACACAGCGAGCCGCACGCATCACTGTGATCCAGTCGCTGCGGGGAGGCGGAGTCTGTCAGAGGGCTGCCGCCCCATTGGCTGTCGCGCTCGGAATCTGAGCACTCGGGCTGAAAGGACGAGAACTGCTGAAAAAAAACAGAACAGGAAGTGAGGAGAGAAAACCCTCGAAAGTACATTCCACATGGATTTATTATTATTAAAGCAATAATCCCTGTGAAGCGTCGTGCCTAACAACGCCCCTTAGCTGTTATAAATTCACTGTAAACCACGGCTTCACGGGGATTATTGCTTTTATAAAACAGTTATTCCATATACGTAGTAAGGTTTCACAAAATAAAACAGAGCAAATAAAGTGTAATGATATTAATAAAAACAGTATTCTTCCACCAAACAATGTAGCTCCTCAGAAACAGTTGTGGTTGCAACAAAGTGGTTGCCGAGCAACACACAAACGTAAACAAAGGTGTATGTTACTTTGTAGAGTAATTTACAACAGCTTCGAACGCGGCTCAGCCAATCAGAATCAAGCACCGGAACTATCCGCTTTATAATATTTTTTTTCATCCTAAAACTTAAAGGTGAAATCGTTCATTATCCAGTGAGATCCAGTTGACATGATATATATATATATATATAAATGAAAATATAAAAACTTACTTTATTTCAGTTAGTTTCAAAGGCAACATTTCTCATTTTCATTTAGTTTAACTTAACATAACTAAAAATTAACTAAAACTAAACCTGAAATGAAAACTAATAAAAAGTTTGTAGATTATTCAATGGACCTGAAGTAAAGCTGAACAAAAATTCAGCTTTGATCACAGGAATAAATCACATTTTAAAATTTAATACAATAGAAAACAGTTATTTTGAACTGTAATAATATTTCATAATATTCATGTTTTTACTGTATTTTTAAGCAAATAAATGCAGCCTTGGTGAGCATAACTCAAACGATAGTGTGTATAAGGAAAGAAAGAACCAGAGAAGATTATATGGTGAGTGAAAATTGTGACTAAAAACTAATATATTTAACATCTAAAATATGCATTTGAGCTTAGAAAAATTGACCCTTATGACTGGTTTTGTGGTCCAGGGTCACACATGAGACTGAAGGGCTTTCAGAGCAACAGTTAGAGCTGAGATAAGTCAGTGTAACACCTGAGAGTAAGGAGAAACCAGGATCTTCCTCCTGCTGCTTGGAGTTTTGTCCTCCGGCTCATGCTGGTTTCTGTAGGGGAACGCAGGTTTGCTGGGCTTCAGCTGGTCTAGAGACAGCGCCATGCCTTTATACTCTGTGTCCCTAAACACACACAACAGCACATTATTACAGTAAATATGCCGTCTGAGCGTGACATTCACTGCTGTAGTTCACCCGCATGATGCTTTTGGGTCATTATGACATAACAATTTCTAGAAAACCCATAGTTTTTAGTACAGGAAAGAAATTTGGCATATGGATTAGGGTTATCAAAATACACATCTTGTATTTTTTTCAGATTTTTAAAAATGATTTTTTAAGAGATAATTAAATAATAATAATTTATGCATTTAGCAGACGCTTTTATCTAAAGCAGTGCATTCAGGCTATACATCTTTTACCAGTATGTGCGTTCCCTGGGAATCGAACCCACGACCTTTGCGCTGCTAACACAATGCTCTACCACTGAGCCACTGGAACACTACATATACTATACTATACTATAGAGCTGTGGCTTTTCAGACTGGTCTGATTCTGATCTTTCTAACTGATTAGACTTACGATTATGATCAAAACTACGAAAACTCCCATAGACGTTCATTGAGGGGGTCAAAACTTTTGTACAGTACGATTATAGTGTTTAAGCTGTCTATAACTAGCAAAGCTTAATGACTAACATAGACAACATGCTAAAGCATGCAAGCTACATGCTAATTCATGGTAGCAATGTGCTAATCATGTTAGCGAACATGAAATATCATGTTAGCAACGTATTAAAACACATTAGCAACATGTTAGCCGCATGCTAATCATGCTAACAACATGCTAATTATGCTAACAGCACGCTAATCATGATAGAAACGTGCTAACAACATGTTAACCATGCCAGCAACATGCTCATTCATGCTAGCAATGTGCTAATCATGTTAACAACATGAAATATAATGCTATCAACATATTAAAACACGTTAGCAACATGTTAGCCACATGCTAATCATGCTAACAACATGCTAATTATGCTAACAGCATGCTAATCATGATAGAAACGTGTTAACAAATGCTAACCATGCTAGCAAAACATGCTAATTCATGCTAGCATTGTGGTAATCATGTTAACAACATGAAATATGTTAGCAACATATTAAAACATGTTAGCAACATGTTAGCCAGATGCTAAGAATGCTAACAACATGCTAATTATGCTAGCAGCACGCTGATCGTGATAGAAACGTGCTACCAACATGCTAACCATGATAGCAACATGCTAATTAATGCTAGCAGTGTGTTAATCATGTTAGCAACATGAAATATGTTAGCAACATATTAGCCACATGCTAGTCATGCTAACAACATGCTAATTATGGAAACAACACACTAATCATGCTAGAAACGTGCTAACAAAATGGTAATCATGTTTGAAACATGTTAGCAACATGCTAATCATGCTAAAACATGCTAAATCATGCTAGCTACGCGCATCTATCTAAACTTTCTCAAGCCAACCTCAAGCTTTTTTCACAAGCTTTACTCATCTAGTTCTATTAGGTTTTTTTTCATATATTACTTACATTTGTCTCAAATTAAATGTAAAATACATTTAGCCTCTCTCATATCTTTCGGGACTGAATTCTGTTGGTAAATTTGAATATGCACCTATAGACAGACGAAAGATACATTTATTTCATTTTGATGTTGTTTTGTTAGAAATAAATGTGTACGTTTCATAAATTTTTACTCTTTTGAGCAATTAAAAGACACATTTTATTCAACTCCATTCATTCCAATGCAGTTATTACTGGTAATTCTCAGTTTAAATGTTCTTATAAATTGCATATAATTATATATTGAAATAAAATTTCTTATGAATATTGAAAAAAATATTTTTATTTTTTTTGCTGTAATTCTTGTAAAATTTGAAATAATTTCTGAATTTTTTTTAATTACTAAAGAGGGGATAAATGTAGTAATAACATAGTAAAACACTGTAACGTTGGCATTTTTGCACACTCACTCAAGTTACTGATCAGATACAGTCTGGTTTTAGGTGATACATTTATGACTGTTTCAGCGGGTCAAAAGTGACCCGCGGATGCGAAAGCTGTTGTTTGAGGAGGGTTAATCAGTTCGTACGGCTCTTCCAGTGATCGCCACCCTTAAACTCGAGTCCTGCGACACAAAGGAAAGCTTGTGAAATGATTTCACAGCTGTGAACAGTTTTGTGTTCGTCTCCTTTGACCCGCTGATGTCTGTCCTCTGAACTACTGAACTCAGACACTCTGCTCTTATCTGCTCTGAAACGCTGTACGCTTGTGTCATGAGCCGCAGGTTTTCCATCATGAGGTGAGATTGTGCTGTGAGCTTTTATGGTTTGTGTCTGACAGCGCACCGTAAACGAGAGACTTAAAGGGAATTAAACTAACATAACAGTGGTGCATTTGACTCGTCTGAAAAATTCAGCTTTGCATCAAAGGTATAAATTACGTGTAAAAATATATTTAAATAAAAAACAGATATTTAAAATTGTAAATATTTTTATTGTATTTTACTGTTTTTATTGTATTTTTTATTTTTTTTTTGGTATTTATTTTAAACACAGGCTGAGTGAGCAGAAGAGACAAAACTATTAAAAAAGCTTACCAACCCCAAACTTTTAAATAAATACATACATGAAAAAAAAAAAAAATATATATATATACACTAGCGGTCAAAAGTTTGGGATCAGTAAGACTTGTAATGTTTATTAAAAATGTAAAGTCTCATCAAGGCTGCATTTATTTGATAAAAAATACAGAAAAAAACAGTAATC